TGCATACCTCCGCCAGCGTGTAACATGTATGTGTTACGAGCTGGCTCGCCGCTCGCTGCTGGCTGCTGCTGACTGACTCGCCTGCTGCTGACCAGCCGCTCGCTGGTGGTTGCTGCTGACTCACTCGCCGCTCGCACAACACGCACACGAACACACACACGAGACCGATTACATTACCTCCCCTCCACTCCGTTACTCCGTTAACTCCGTGGGCGGAGGTAATTACGCTAGACGCTCCACTAAGAGACATACGCACAAGCTAGCGTCATCGAGCGGTTGACTATCGACATTTTACTGCGTGTACACACATTCTATGAAAGCCTTTGTACGGGCCTGTACACAGGTCGATCTGCCCATCATCGAACCTCTCTCGTGACACGTGTCGCCTCTGTGTGACTGTGTCGGCATTGACAAAACCACGAAGAAACACATCGGTATATATCGGGCGTCAGTCAGGCCCTAGACTGTCCCCGTAGCCCCCCACGATCAAACGAGCATGAGCACGCTGCGTGCTTATTAGCTAACAGAACTTAGAGATGCAAGCAGTAGGAGTGACAAGGGAGACGGATAGCGTGCGAGAGGGGAGGGATTCGACGAGAGAGAGAGAGGCCTGAGAGGCGCGGCGAACAGGGAAAGCAGAGAGAACGGAGAAGAGAGAGAGAGAGAGCAGAGCAGGGCAGAGAGACAGAGAGAAGGGGAAACGAGAGAGAGAGACACAGAGAAGGGGAAAGAGAGAGAGAGAGAGAGAGAGTAGAAGAGAGGACGAGAGTGAAGGCGACGAGAGAGAGAGAGCAGCGATGGAGAGATGAGAGAAGAGAGAGGGAGGGGCTCCAACTCCCGAGATCCTACATCCCAAAGCCGCCTGACCCGCTGTACCATCTGCTATCGAGAGAGGCACGAGAGAAGAAGGCAGAGAGACGAGAGAGAGACGAGTCAGCGGAAAGAGGAGAGAAGAGACGAGAAGAAGAGTGAGAGATGGAGAGACCGAGACAAGACGAGCAGAGAAGAGAGAGAGCGGGTAAAGAGACAGAACGAAAAGAAAGCGAAGAGATTAGAGACGATGAGAGAGGGGGAATG